ATGTAGGCAAAACACCAATGTACATAAAATAAAAATCTAAAAACTAAAGAAAATAAACATTAACAAATAAAACAAAACATGGATGATGTCCCCCTGTGTGTACACTGCGAAGTAAAAACACCAATAACTATAAAAACTGGGACTAGGAAAGAAGGGTGGGGCGATGGGGAACTCTCTTGCCAGTATCTTTGGATAGTGAATACACCAGCTGCAGAACAGAGGGAAAGGGGCCAGGGATGTGCAGAGAAAGCCATGGGGAGAGGCTCAGGGGAGCGTTCCAAGCTGTTCACAGCAGCGAGCTCTGGCCAGCCTCTTGAAATACCAGGGCAGCGAGCTGTCTGATTTAAGGAGTGAGACAGAGAGGATGCTGTTTTGGTCAGGACTTGGCTCAGAGGCCACGATCAGCTGTGCTTTGTAACAGTCACCGCAGAGGCATTGCTCAAGATCAGGCCCTGGGCTGCAAGCCCTCGCTGCCTGCAGTGCTGACCCAGCTGCTTCAGGAAACCCCAGGGCTGCTGCGGCTCCACCTGCCCAAAGTCTGACTGGGTGTTTCTCCTCACCTGGTTGGCTCCAGGAAGACAGGATGGTCTCTTGTAGAACATTTCCCAAGGAGACAGGGTGAGTGGCTCCCATTCCCAAGAGCGAACAGAGCTGAATGATCACAGCCAATGATCAGACTGACTGCCAAGGGGTCAATATCACAGGAGCAAAACCAGGACATGTTCTAAGTTGAAATAGGCAAGACTAGAGTGACATATTCAGGTTATTCTTGAGCATTTCTGGCTGTGAGTGGCAACATTGCAGGGGGAGGGTAGGCTCCTGCCTGGCCTTTTTAGAACATCTAAGGCTCTATACGGTACGGGGGCTTATTGGCAATCTATTACTTGGCCTGGCGGTTTCAGTTTATTTTTGAGTTTCTGAATGGAAAAGAGACAGTAGGGATATGTCATGGAGGACTGGGAAGGGCAGAAAGATTGCTTCTCCTGGGAAAAGAGGCGAGGAGACATCCTAGCATGTTTTATTGAGCCACGGTTCTGCTGTAGTCAGGGAAGGGAGGGTGGAGCCTCTCCTAGGTCTTTGTGAAGCTCCAAAGTCAATGAGAACACAGCAAAATGAGCCAAGTTGAGACATAAGAGACAAGGCAATGCTAGGAGTGTAAGGGGCTTCGCTGAGGATAAGAAGTGAGGGCCAGGAGAAAGTACCAATGAAGGCTCTGGGCTGGATCATTGTGGGTTAAAGAGTGGACAAGATGCTTTTAAGGTGGGAGGAGGTGAAGGGTGGCCATGCTGGTCACCTAAGGCATGCTGGCCTGTGAAGTATGATCCACAGAAGTCTTGGATCAGGACTACTTATTAAGGGATGAAATAATACATTCACGAATACAGAACGAAGCCAGGGAAGGATGGGGAAAAAAACTGCGGACCAGGTCACCGAGCTGTAGCATCAGGAAGTCTTCCAGGGTCAAGAGAAAGAGAGCTGTGACCCTCTTCCCTTCCTTCTTAAGGAGTCAAGTACCCCCAGAGAAAACCACGTCCATCAGGCCAACCCACTCCATTCTATTGGTCATTAGACCAGATGGCCAAATTCCCACAACAGGCCTGGAACATGAGACTGTGACTTCATTCAGGAAAAGGGTTGTAGGAGATGCATTTCAGATCTTAAACTGAGAACATCTCACCCTACAAGTGCCTGGAATAAGAGGAGGTAGAGAGACCCTGCGAAAGGGCAGGTAGACAGTCCGTAGGCCGGGGGGGGGGGGACAAAGGCCACCAGAGCCCCTGGAAGTTAAGACAAATACAGGGGACATATTTTCTCTCAGGCATTCAAGGAGGAACCAACCATGAGGATACCCTTGATTTTGTGGTTTTGCTTTTCTAGAGGAACTACCAAGCCAATTCGTTATGAGTCACATGTATGGCCTGGTGCAAGTCATCCAATTGCTGCGTGACTCAGTTTTATAACTTCACAGTAGGGATAAAAAGGATGCTTCTCCCACAGACCTGCCTGGCTAATAACCATAGAGCCCATGTGTTCCACAATGCCTTGGGGAATTGATACATGGTAATTGTGGGCCCCAGTCACCAGACTTGTTATAAATAGCTGTAAAGGAGACAAAAGGGTAACCATGGACACGGACTGTGTCCTTGAGCAAGGCAGTCATGGAGGTGATGTATATGAAGGGGGTAGAAGTGAGCAGGGAGGAGCTTACACGGGATCCAGTTTGACACATGGGCAGGGGAGTCATGGGAAGGTGGGCAGGATTTTATCAGTCTTTGCTCACCACTGTAAACCCATGCCTAGCAATCTTTACTTACAGTCAATGCTTACTGAAAGCATCAAGTTGAAAAAGCATCCATTAGAAGGACAGCCATTGGGCCAGAGGAGACTGGCAAGAAGGCATGCCTCTGTCTAACACCAATGTGTGAAGACCCCACAAGCCTGCAGCTGTCTGTGTGGCTGTCTTCTCAGTTCTCCCAATCCTCAGTGATAATAAAACACAGGAGGCTGAACAAGAGATACAATCCATGATGGTGACAGGGCTAGGGGTGGGGGTCTTGGTACAAGTAGGGTCTGGTAGGTGCTGGTTGATAATGAAGATAAAGGAAAGAAAAACATTTTGTGAGCACTTTGTCTTCTAGGGTCACTTGATCTGAAGGGACAGGTGTAGAGTACCAACACATAAAACCTCACAGCAGGGCAAGTCAGAGAGGGTACACCATTCTAGGACCTGGGGAGTCTTAAGGAGACTCTCTCCTACAATGCCTCCTGGGTACCACTGAACAGGTCAAGATGCAGCTAGGCTTGGGACAGGGAACCAGCCTTGGTGCAAAGCCACAAAGCTCCGCAAAGTCTTCTCTGCAGGTTATTTCCTGCAGGGAATCTTAGCTAATACCACCGCAAGACAAAGCACAACGCTGGTCTCTCAAAACAATGCCTCATCCATTTTCCCAGCACTGGAACATTGTGTGGTAAGAACAAGTACGTGGTCACCTAAACACAACCAAACTGCCCAGCTTGTCAGGATGGCGGGGAGGCTGAGCATTTTAAGGCTCCCTGTGTGATGTCTACTGGGTATCACCTGATATGAGCTGACATTTGTGATATGCCGAAGGAGGCCAGTATTCATGAACTCTAACCACGGAGCACCCAGGACAGTCTTCCGTACTTCATACAAGCCCTTCCATCCTGCGCTGAGTTGCAATACAGCTCTGTGAGGTGGACGGGACAAGGAGGGTGGCTTCATCCAGGTTCTTCTGCTAATTAATGCTAATGATGATAAGGGCCACTTATGAAATGCCAACAGCTTTATAGGCCTATCCCACAGATTTTTATAATGTTTATCAGGTGGCACCAGTAAAAGCTGCCAGGTGCTGTAGGGTAAGGACTGTGATTGGGTTTGAGGACTGGTCTGTGCCAGTTTTCACATTTGACTCTTCCTCCTCTTACATGCCAGTCTCTAATAAGGGAAACTAAGGCCTAGGGAACAGAAGGGTCTTCTCTGAGGACAAAGACCAATGACCACAACAGCTGGGGCCCAAACCTCAGCCGTATGAATCCAAATCCACACCTCTCCTTTGGGAGCCCAAGCTACTACTTTGAACTGAATAATGTTAAAAAAAAATGGCCTTCCCTCCAATCATTTCTCACCACTCAGCTGAAGGTTTTAAAATCAAATCCCCTACTGGTAAGATGTCGTCCAGGTTTTCAGTTAAGAAAGTCATTCCAAACCGGTTAAGCACCTACTGTGTGCTAAGAAAGTCATCCCCAACAGCTTAAACACCTACTGTGTGTCATACATTCACTAGTAAGATGTCATCCAGGCTTTGAGTTAGGAAAGAAATTCCTAACAGGTTAAGCACCTACTGTGTGCTAAGAAAGTCATCCCCAACAGCTTAAACACCTACTGTGTGCCAGACATTCACTAGTAAGATGTCATCCAGGCTTTCAGTTAGGAAAGAAATTCCTAACAGCTTAAACACCTACTGTGTGTGCCAGACATTCAGCTGTATCTTCATAGACAAAGACATTTTGCACAATGCCAATTGTTACAGCTCTACTGAAAATACTATGTGACTGCCACCCACTAAACTATAGCTATCAGCTCTCTTTATGAAGAAGGGTGCCAGTCTTGATTGGTCCTTGGCATCACCTGGGATAGTTACGGCATCAATTGTGTGACCCGCCCCGTCATTTAACTACGCAGCCTAAGCAGAGGAAGCGTTTACTACCAAGAGGTATCTGCTAATTACTCATCAACATGACTTTGTTACGGAAAACCATTTCATGTTTAGACACAATTTATCATTTTCTCACTCTCCAAGCAGATGGGGTATGACTGAGGACAGTCGTGAGAGAAAGCAGATGGTCAGAGGGAATGTTTGAAAGCGGGAAAGTTCAGAGAAGGAGAAGACCCGTGGGGATGTAATCATTACAATAGAGCAGAAATATCTAGCCCTGAGTTTTCCAGAGCCAGTGTCCTGGGGTGAAGGGTCTTGGTGTATCATAGTCCATGAAAAGGAATTTAGAAAAACACGAAAGTTTTTTTTTTCTCTGTCAAATAGTTTTAGGAGAAAAAGTGAAAACGATTTAGCTGAACAAACACTGAATCCATAGATACTTCCAGACACAGGCTCAACCTGCTCCTAAATCTGTGAACAGCAAGTTGAAGGTCAGCTTCCCCTTCTGGAAGGTCTTCAGGCTTTCTGGGAATGGCCCTCAACTAAGTAGACCATGATATAGGCAAAACAGATTGTCATCAATCTGCCCCAGGGAGTCTTTAGACCACAGCCAAGCCAGGGATAATAGAGCAAACTTGCCCTGGGACTCGACTGTGTCTCTGTGCTCAGAGAGAGTTCCAGCAAAGTCAAGATGGCACGGCATGCTCAAGGTCCTCAAACTCAACCTTACTATCCTGTCTCCTGTTACAGTACAATTCTTGACATCAAGAAAAGACCCGCAGAATGGGATGCATCTTACAGCAGGGCACGAGGGAAACTTACGGGGGGTTGTCACATTTCCTCTGCCGGAATCGCGCTCCTGTCCCACATGTTCGGCTGCACATGCTCCAGGTGCCCCACGGGCTCCAGTCCCCGTCCACATGTTCAGGGATGGGTGTCTTGCTCACGCACTCCCCAGCCCGACACCACTGAAACACACAAAAGGGCCACACTCAGCGAAACCACTTCTGCCCCCAAAGGACTGCTTCCTTTTTGGGTGTCAAAATCCATTTTGAAATTTCCATGGAATTGGAATATTTCAGGGTGTGAATGTTTGTGAACGCTTGCTCAGCTTGGTGCCTTTAATCTGCCTGGAGTTCGAAGCCACTGAGTTTTCCAGGAACTGGACTCTATGGAGATTTTCTAAGTTCTCAAGAAAAGGACGGATCCACGTGGCATGTGAACAGAACCGAGGGTGTGTAAATGCTGAATGATGCTTGTGTATCTATGCCCAGAAGACAACGTTGTCAGGATCTGAGGCCAGAGCTTCGGGATTGGGCTTAGTTCTTAGAAAAATTCAGGTGTGGTGGCGCAGGCTTCCGAACTCAGTCAGCGTGTGGGAGGCTGAGCACCACACAGGGAAGCCATTTTGACTAGCCAGATTAGTGGTGGCAGTGAGGTTAGCTGTGGGTAGATGCACAGAGTTCTTTCTGAGGGTAAAAGAAAGTCAATCTCTAAAACAGATTTCCCAAAGTGTGTGATCCGGTGCTTCCTAAGCAGAACACCAGAACAGAACACTATAGCTCCCTTTTAAAAACAAAAACAACAGCAAAAACTCTTTCAAGATTCCCAATCAGCCAGGAATGGTGGTAAAAGGCCTGAAATCCCAGCATCTGTGAGGGGAAAACCTTGAAAGATCACATGTTTAAGGCCAGCCTGGGCAACACAACATGTTCCAGGGCAGCCTGGGCTATATACAAAGGCTCTACCTCAGAGGGACACAAAAAAAAGAACAGGAGAAAAAGACAGGAAGATGCAGAGAAGGGAAGAGGGAGGAGGGAGAGGGAGGGGGAAAGGAGGGGAGAGCAGGGAAAAGAAGAAGAGGAGGGGGTGGAGAAGAGGGAGCAAGGGAAGAAGGGGCAGGGGAAGGGGTCAGGAGGAGAGTAAGGGAGGAGGGTGGAGGAAACATCAAACTAGGAAGGCTTGCAAGTACGTCTAAAGAGAAAATCGTGTGACTGCAGGTCCTGCCTACTTCCCTCAAACCTTTTAGTCTCACCCCTTCATAAGGATCAGCTAGAGTCCAACAGTACGATTCTCATCAATGTATGGCAAATGAATTGGCTTTCTGTTAATCCCTACTCATAACCTTCCTTTATAAGAAAATTCACTTGCGTGACAAAGAATTCATTTAATAAAAAATAAATCAAGGAAATGATTGATTCTTGTGGCTTTGTAAGAAACCCGGGGTGGTGTGGACTCGTGTGCGTGCAGTGGGCTCCACGGGCATTCCTACAGTGCTTAGGGGTGTTTCTGGGGGCTCCTCAGCAGAGTGCACATTGCCTTCCACAAGGAGAGAAGCCCAGCGCCCAGAAGGCGTGAGGCTGCCTGCCAGGGCTGCTAGAAACCGGGTGTTACCTTGTCCGCCCCACACTCGGTGCCATCCAGAGGAGGGTCCAGCTTGGTCTTGCAGGACGTATCTCCCTCTACCAGACACCACAGCCCAGCACACATCAGATGCTGCAGGACAAGAGAAGCAACCGTAAGTGCCTCAAGAGAACGCCCAGATGCATGCCACAGAGGGGTCAGAGCCACGGAGCAACCGCTCTTCAGATTGGGGATTTGAGACACATGGGGAGCAAGGAGGATTGAGTCTGGGAACCTAAAACACCAAGTGGCTTATTCGGCTCAGTGGAATTCTTGCATTTACTCTTTGGAGGGCTCGTCTCACGGGACTGAGTTCAGGAGTTCCAAACTCAGGGAATTCTGGGAGGTCCTTTCCAGGTCCGATGGTCATGGGCTGGCAAAGCATCCACGAGACAACCCTAGCCTAACTTCACCAGAGGACGGTGTTGGACGGTGAGTGAGGTGGGAGTGTAAGCTGCTATTATGGGGGCCAGAAATGTGAGGCCAAGGTGCAGAAGTAGCCTTCTAGTCTCCCTGCCTGGCTTCTACGTCTGCTGAGCTGGGCATAAATTATTACACTATTTTACCTAGAAAAACTTGGAACACCCACAAACAGAGAATAAAAGCAACTGTACTAAAACAGGACTAGGCATCTAAAGAGACAGACTCCCAACTGTAATTAATAAGACGTTTGGCCACTGACAGAGGGGTCAGAATGAGATGAATTATCAAGATTACCAAGGCAGGCATGACTATTCTTCCTCCCCAGGGGACTTGTGAGCAGACAGGACCAACAACCATATGAGATGGGGGCTGGCTGAGCCTGTATCACCGGGAGAAGGATTCTGAGCTATCTTCTACACGTTGCTCAGGGGTCCTAGTGGGACAGTCCCGTTGCCCAAGGCCGTTGACGAGTTACACCCATCAATGCACCTTTCTGCACTTCTCTCCCTGTAGATGGCCCCTCTCAGTATTTTCTGGGATTGCTTCCCACATAAACTACTTGCACCCAAAGCCTCACCATGAGCATGGCCTGAAAATTGGAAACAGATGTTCCTACGGCGCTTTTAAAGACACAGCGCTTCCAGGATGCCAGACCTAATTGAGGCTAAGAAGCTTGAGCTGGAATGGGAAGACCTTGCCCTCCACTGTGTGGTCAGTGGATAGCTGGTGCCCTTCAGGTAACACGAGGGAACCCCTACAGCACGGCACGGTGAGGTGACAGTGAGGTTTGCAAAGTCTACACGTTCCCGTGACTGTTCACCCCTCCACGGAATGGTAAGAAGATGAGGGAGTCCCTGAGTGCAGCACAGCTGCTCCCATTAAGATGACTGCACCTCATTAAATGTTTGATTCCTTGCACTTTCACCTAAGAGCTCTTCCAGACTGGTGCAGCGATGTTCAGACACGTGGTCACAAGGCAGAGCGGACCCAGGAGTGTAATTAGGGGTAGGAGTGCTTGGGGTTGGAAGAAATAATGACCACATTAGGAGAGAGAGGAAGGAGGTAGGGTGAACTGTTTATTGTGTATTTTATGGACAGGGCTTTCTCATGAAACCTCCCTAATTATCAATGCCAAAGAGTTGGCAGTTAGGCGAAGCCTTCTGAAACAGGACACAAAAGTGCCAACGATAAAGGAGGAAAAAAAAACACAAATAAATTATACTCCATGAAAACGAGGAGTTTGTTTATTAAAAGGCAAGTATAAAACTATGAGAGGGTGTTTGCAATAGATCGGGGGAGGCATCAGCAATGTATATAGCCAACAAAGTGTGTCTAGCACAGTTTTGAAAAAGCAAACAAGCCAAATCTACTAAAGATCAAATAAGAAAAAATATCCATGAAAATGAAGACTTGATAGTTCATAAGATGATATTTTAATGGCAATTAAGCATATGAAAATATGCCGAAACCTCCTCAGCCATCAGACAAAAGCAAATTAAGACCATCTTTAGATATTTCTATATACACTGAAAAAGACAGAGAATTCTCCTCCTCCCCCTTCTCTTCCTCCTCTCCCTCTTCCTTCTTTTTGAGACAGGGTTTCTCTGTGTAGCCTTGGCTGTCCTGAAACTCACTCTGCACACCAGGCTGTCCTTGAACTCACAGAGCTCTGCCTGCTTCTGCCTCCTGGGATTAAAGGCATACACGACCACCGTGCAGCATGAATTCCACTTCTTGACAAGGATGTGGCCAACAGGAACTTTTTGAACAACTTTGGAAAAGTATCCATCCATCCATATTTGTTACAGGCATTGCACACTGTCATGTTTATAATTCCATGCCCAAGAAAGAAAGAAATCTGAATATATATATTCACTCTATGAAGACATCAGGAATGTCAGCGTCAATACGATTTGTGTTACGACAAAAGCAGAAATGAGGCAAAAGCTCACTGACATCGGAGCAGATGGCTCATGATGACAACAGTAGATGATGGTGGGCTCTGGACTGCACGCATTTCAAGCCAAGGTGAAACTCTAGTGTTGGGGGCTAGATTGGCGGTTTTGTTCTTGTCTTTAAAAAAGGGAGTAACACACAGCAGGCTTTAGAATGGTAGCCTTGGACCCAGGTGTGGCCACGGGCAGTGCCTCTCCAGGAGGGCTTCTCAAGCATGCTTAGTCAAATTTGGGATTGTCCTCACTGCTTTCACTATTCTCCTCCTCATCACCTTCCCCTTTCTCCAAGCACTTCCAGGTCCCTATGGGCTACACCTGTGGTACCATGTCCATAACAACCACACAGTTGCTGCCTCCCCAGCAGTATTCAATAGTCCGTACTTGCTCTTTTCCTTGGCATGTCTGTAGGAGTTGAGAGCTATGCTGTTAACACTTCCGTGGCCTTAGCTCCTACCATTGTCTTCTGGAGGAAGCCTCTTCCTCATGACTGCCCTAAAGTGGAGGCAGAGGGCGAAGCCGCTGTTTTCTACGTTCATCTTTGGTCATCATTTTTCTTTGCCTCTGACTCACCTTTAACCCACAGAATGCAGCACAAATGGCAAGATGTGACGTCATGTTTAGTTCATAAAACACTATGATCTACCTGCCCTCTGTAAAGGCTCTCAGGTTGCTTTCTTGCTTTGCCTTCTTTGGTCAAACTAGCTGTCGTGCTGGAAAAAGGCAAGCTACGATAAACTGAGGCAGTCTGACAAGCTAGACAGTGTGAACCTTTGGCGTTTGTTCCGACCCCTACAAGGGGCAAGGAACTTCTAACAATTACCCAGTGAGCCAGTGAGCCTGGCAACAAACACTCCTCCAGCTGAGCTTCAAATGAGACTTCAGACCAGACCTCTGCCCTCACCATAACCTTGTAAAACTGCTGAGACATAGAAGGCCTGGCTGAGTGATGTCTTTATCTCTAACCCTCGTGATCTTAAAGATAAGAAATATGTTTTGTTTTAAGCAAGCATATTTTGTGGAAATTTGTTAAGAAAAGATAGTGAACTAACACAGATACACTTTTTTAGCACTTTTCCAAACATCAAAGATGAGAGATTTTTTTTAACTGTCAAGAGAATAAAAACATGGAGGATTAATTGTATATACAGTGTGTGGCAGAGGAATCGATGGGAGGAGTCTTCTATGAAAAACATAACAGAGAGGCAAGGAAAATCTGGAAGAAAACATAAACTAGGACCAGAATCATCTGACATAGCAACAAATGAGCCAACCTTGTCTACTAAGATAAAACCTTCAGAGTAGATCACAAGCTAACACTCTAGTATATGCTGTGTAACTGGCACACAACATGATTCAGAAGCCAAAATAAAGGCAAAGGAGAAAAACAACACTAATGTAAGTCAGACTTGAACCCAGAACCTGAAGCAAGAAATAATACAAAGAACTATCACCCTCAACAGTTACCTAGTGTCTGTGCCACAAATATCACATAATATTAAATCTCATTAAATAAAACTGACTTGGGATAAAAGGGTACCAAGAACTATTACCCTCAACGGTCATCTAGTACCTATGCTCCCGATATTACATAGTATTAAATGTCATTAAATAAAACTGACTTGGGTTAAAAAGGTAATCAACAAAAGAGAAGTTAGCACAATCATTTAATGGATCTTTCTCAGTCCAGAACAAACCAAACGATCATGTAACAATACAGAGGTTCTGTCACAAATAACAGAACAAGACAGAATTGATAGAGCTCCAGTTCTTAAAACAAGTATGTCAAAAGACACATCTTTAATGGTCATGGAATATTTATAAAAGTTGCCTCAGTAAAATGGGGAAGTGAAAACCATAGCACAATGAAGTAAAAATTATTCCGGAGGTGGCATATTGCAATGTATCCAGGCTAGCTCATCAGTCCCAGAATCATAGGCATGGGCTACCACACCCAGCTTGCAATGAAACATTTTTTAAAAAAAGTTAGAGAATAAATAACCTTGTCATATGCAACAATCTAAATTTTCCTTTAAGCAATTTTCTGGCCCAAAGGAAAAACTATAATCCAAACTGCAAAAAGTAAAGAAGATAGTGGATGGGGAGACACATTAAGATATATAGGGCATTTGGAGAAATATTTAGAGTCCAAAACACAATAATAACAATAAAGTAATTTTAACATGCTTAAAACAGAATAATATACATTTAAACACACAAACAAAAACCCACAGAATGAAACTAAGCCTGGAGGTAGGACTTGAAATCCCAGCTACTCTGGAGGCTGAGGCAAAAGGATCACATGTTCGAGGTCCACCTTGGTTACTGAGTGTGCTCACGGCCAGCCCGGACAATTTAATAAGACCCTGTCTTGTACAGTTAAAAGGGACTCTGGACAGAATATGTGTTCAGTATGCGTAGAACTCTGCTTCCGTAATCAGTACTGTAAACACAAACACTAGCACCAAAAAGATCCAAACAAAATAAGGATAAATGATTATTTTATGATTGAAGAAGCAGAGGACCCCTCCCCAAGAGAAAGGCCCACACAGATGGTTCTCTGTAGGAAAAGTGAACCAGAGGAACCATTTGCTAAGTTATTTAAGAAAGGGGGAGGAAAACATGAATCAGGAAGGAACAGATCATTAAAATGCAGACCAGAGACCACCTGACTCATTTTATGTACAAAACCCATTTTTTTTTTCTGTAAATGTCTAA